TCTGGTGGCGGCCCCTTTCTGCCTTGAGCCGGCAAGCTGTTGCAGGGGCTGCGCCTGTTACCTCCGAATGAAGCGGTGGCCTCTGGCAGGAGAGCTGAGGCCAGAGGTCGCAAACGGGTTTTGATTCCTTACCCGTACCCGGCCGTGCTAGGGTCGCAAATGGGTACCCGTACCCGGCCGGGTACGAGTACCCGTTCCCTACCCGTACCCTACCCGAAATGAGTGACAAACGGTTACTCACCAGTGACTCACGGCCTACCCGTACCCGGCCGCACCAGGGTCGCAAATGGGTACCCGTACCCGTACCCGGCCGGGTACGGGTAGCCGGGTATCGGGTAGGGTATGGGTATCGGGTACCCGGTTGCGACCTCTGGCGGAGGCGCGGGACATCGTCGACGGGGTTAAACGGGCGTCCCCCGCGATTTATTTATATTTTTATTATTTGGGAGCAATTGTATTTTTATTGCGGTGGTGGCGGTGCGGGCGGGGGTGGAGGGGGCGGGTGGTGGAGTGGCGGAGGGGCGGCCGGAGGGGCGCGATATTAGCATTTGTCACCAGCCCAAGCTGGCGAGCTTCACGGGGCGAGAGTCGCGGCTGTCACGTCGAGCTGGCGTTTCTCGCCCTCTCGCTCCGCCACTTCCGCATTAATATTTATGCTCCCGCTAAATTGTCATCTCTGTCTCCCCCCCACTCCCACCCCCTCCCCCAAGGATTCCCCCGATTGAAATCAAACGCTTCTGGGCTTTTAAATATATGAGAAAAAGAGGGGGGCGGGTTGGGGGTGGGCAGGTGGGGGTGGGCGGCGGGTGGGTGGGGAAAAGAGATTGACTGGGGAAGAAGTGGCGCGGTGAAGTGTTCTTAACCCTTTGTGCGTGGTGCCCCCGCCGCTGGCGGCAGGGTCACGCTGCCCCGACACCCCCCGTGCTCCCCCCCCCCCACCCCCCCTTCTTGTTCGGTGCCTTGAGCTCCTCCGTCATGGCACGGCCGCCCTCGCGGATTTCAGAAGCGTGTGGCTTGTTTAAAAAATATATATAAAATTCCCGTTCATCTTTCTTTTTGGCGCGGCGAGAGGAAACACAACTGCTGTGGCTGCTGGGGCGACGGCACGGGAAGCGGTTAAGGGTTGTCAACATTTAAATGTCACTCATCCCGCGGCGGTTAGCGCGCAGGGCCTCCTGTCCCGGCAGACGCTTAACCCTTCGCTCGTCCGGCCGCCCCCCCCGTGCCAACCTCCGTGCTGCCCCCGTTCGTCATGAAGCTCGGAATTCTGACTCGCGGCCAAGATAAAAAAATATATTTCCACCCGCCATACCACGTCCAGTACACCTCTCGCGATAGTTGTGGATGCTTGTGACCCGCTGCCACCCAGGCCGGTTCTACCAGCGACCTTAAAATTTCATTTCCGACGTTTCTCTCCATGTGCGGAGAGCCTCTTTGGATCGCCGTGACAATATACGCCGTGCGGCAGCTGGTGCCAGGCTAGGTGAAGGCGGGGCAGTCGCCACGGGGTTAACTCCTCGCGCAGCTTCATTTTGAGCCTCCCTTTCCGCGCGTGCCACTCGGTGCGCGCCGGGGTTTGAAGTCATTACCTCCGCACGGGTAGCCGGGTGGGCGGAAAGCGGTAGCAGCGTGGGAGCAGAGTGGGTGCAGCGTTGGGAGCAGGAGGAAGAGAGAGCCATATGCCGGCAGCCTTTAAACCCGATGAGGGCTTAATTCCAAACTCGTTTTTTTTCGCCAGTCGCTGGTAATGGCCACTGCAGCCATCGCGAGAGGCATACTGGATGGCGTGCCGGTTGCCGAAACACTTCCTGGATCGTGTTCTGATGATGCTTGACGCAGTCCCAAGCGAAACGTCACGTGTCTAATGCTTAATTTCTGGTGTGAGAATGGCTAGTCGACTCGCCGCCGACTGAGCTGAACCGATACGAATTGGCGTGTCGGGTGGTGGAGGGTTTTAATTCTAGATTTGAAGCTTTCGTGACTGCAAGGATTCATATTCTTAGTTTTTTCGGTAAAGTCACGTAGGTAAAAAATTAAAATTTAAGTTAATAAAAGTAAAATAAAAATAAAATAAACGTCGTGATTTTTATTTTATTTTAATTTTACTTTTATTAATTATAATTTTTTACCTACGTGACTTTACCGAAAAAACTAAGAATATGGTGGAGGGTTCTTTAACGACATGGGCTTAGCCAGATTATCACGTGGTGGCCTCATGCAAAAATCAATAACGAATTTAATTCCTTTGTTTATTAATTGAGAGATCAATTTAACACGTAGATAGAAAGAAACGTAGGCTTTCGCGACCAATATTATTCATGATAGATGGTTTTGGGTTAGATCGCGTGCAGTATAAATGTCGTGTTGAAACCCTCCACCACCCGACACGGCCAATCAGAAAGGGATTTGTCCCGTAAACAAAACGCCAAATAGTTCACTACTTCAACACACCGGTGGGCTGAAGTAGTAACTATTTTGTTCTGTCTGGAAATAAAATATTAAAGATGCGACGATGTTCTGCAGATAGGACGATACTATTACGATACTATTACCGTGGATCATGTGTGTGTGGGAACACCATGATGTGGTGTTCCCACGTTGCGGCGACCATAAGCTAGATGCTATATTGTTATACTGGTAGGAACCCACTGGTTCCACCAGCCCACAGGGGATTATTGTGTCCGTCCGTCCGTCGTGCAGAGAGGGGCTGGGTGGGGAGGGAGGGGCTGGGTGGGGAGGGTGGGGAGGGGTTGGGTGGGGAGGGGCTGGGCTGGGAGGGGCTGGGCTGGGTGGGGAGGGGCTTGTTGGGGAGGGTGGGAGGGGTGGGGCTGGGTGGGGAGGGGCTGGTCACCCCGTGGTGCCCTTATAAAACTCAACGTTTAACCTACTCACGCCGGCTTGTACCCGCCCTCACAGTCGGGCATATTTGCGGAATTCACCACGCCGCCGTTGACCCTGGCCATTGACCGAGCAACCCAACGTTCCTACCAGCTCCCTCCGCAGGAATGTGTTTATCTTACGGAGCGTGTTTACCTCGGAAAGTCTCAATGAGCCTCAAGACTCTTTTTTCAAGAGGGTCCTTCTAAATGTCCTGAGTAAAGGGGAGGGAAATGTGGCAATGTGTCACCTCAATTGACTAATTTGCATTACATTTTTCAGCATTGGGAAGTTTTTGGCCAATAATAATTCAAGTTTATAAAGCGCCCTTAAACAATCGTTCTCAGGGTGCTTGCTACGGGAGACAACCAGAGAACACCAGAGGACACCCGTGCAGAACAGGAGGGGAGCAGTCACGCGCCACACACTCTCTCTCACGCACTCACCCTCTCAATCACGCACTCACACTCTGGCAGAACAGGAGGGGAACGTACACGCACCACACACTCTCTCACGCACTCACTCTCTCAATCACGCACTCACACTCTGTCAGAACAGGAGGAGAACACACACGCTCCACACACACTCTCTCACGCACTCACCCTCTCAATCACGCACTCACACTCTGGCAGAACAGGAGGGGAACGTACACACGCCACACACACTCTCTCACGCACTCACCCTCTCAATCACGCACTCACACTCTGGCAGAACAGGAGGGGAGCGTACACACGCCACACACTCTCTCACGCACTCACACTCTCAATCACGCACTCACACTCTGGCAGAACAGGAGGGGAGCATACACGCGCCACACACTCTCTCACGCACTCACCCTTTCAATCACGCACTCACACTCTGGCAGAACAGGAGGGGAGCATACACACGCCACACTCTCTCTCACGCACTCACACTCTCAATCACGCACTCACACTCTGGCAGAACAGGAGGGGAACGTACACACGCCACACACTCTCTCTCACGCACTCACACTCTCAATCACGCACTCACACTTTGGCAGAACAGGAGGGGAACGTACACACGCCACACACTCTCTCTCACGCACTCACACTCTCAATCACGCACTCACACTTTGGCAGAACAGGAGGGGAACGAACACACGCCACACACTCTCTCTCACGCACTCACACTCTCAATCACGCACTCACACTCTGGCAGAACAGGAGGGAGAACGCACACACTCCCAACACGCAGAAAAGCCCCCTCACCCCCCCCCCCCCGAACGCAGCATCCCTTCTCCCCGTGAGGCCACACAAGCATTACCACTGCACGCACCGTCACTGCCTGCCACTATATAAATTGACGTCGCTTGTTGTACCGTACTGCGCGAGCGTTAATTATCGCGAGCCGCCCCCCCCCCCCCCCCCCCCCCCCGCCTGGTTGGGAACGGCGTGGACGAACGAGTGGGATCGGTTCGTCCGTCCGCACGTCGTCCGTAATCCGCGCGACGACGTCCGCTCCCTAAATTAAATTACCCCGGCTCGATATGTGGCCCCCCTCCTCCCCCCCCCCACTTGCCCCCCTTCTGTTCCCTACCCCCCACTGCTGGAGCTGTTTCTCTCTCACCGGCGTAATCCGTCACTAGCGGTGTCGCCTGCAGGTCGCCCCCCCCCCCCCCCCCCCACGAAACCCCGGATCCGTGCTCTCCCTCTAATTGGTCTGATTGAAGAAGATTCATCATCTGAAGCCGCTGCTGCTGTTGAGTTGGCAGCGGTGCACAAAGCACAGGCAATGACAACAGAACAACCCCTACGCACGCTCCCGCGCCGGTGGTAACACTGCGGCCTGAGAAAGAAAAAGTCTCCACCAGATAGGTGACGTTTTGAGGAGCAATGGCGGAGAGTTACGGGTCACTCTGCCCTCTTTGGCTTCTCTGTCCACTGTCTAAGCGTCACCTGGTTTACACCGTTTCTTGTCGAGGCCGCACAGATGCGGTGGTGTCATTGAACGTGTGGGAGTTGAAATCGTTCGGTGAATGGATTTGGGGTTTCCCAGTAGAGCAACGGTTGCAGTGCACGGCGGTGTGGGTGTCGTGGTTGATGCTGCGGTGTTTGCTAACCATGCGGCGTGTGCGGTGTGCGTTATTGGGGTTCGTGTTGCAGTGTGAGCAGGAGGCTCCGGCTGAGTCTCGTGGCGCTGACCCCGAGGCCTCGTTGTCGTCGTCATCCGAGGGTGGCAGGGTGGAGGATGGGGGCGGGGAGGATGCACGGGGCCCCCCCATTGGGGGGCATGAGCCGGTGTCTGCGAGCAGCGAGACGATCTCTGAGCAGAGTGAGCAGCTCCAGTCCATGTGCTCTCGGGTGAGTGCTCGCGTTCGTTCGCTCACTCACTCTCACTCTATGGCTCGCTCGCTCGCTCGCTCGCTCATACATTCACTCCCTCATTCACCCACTCGCTCAGTAATTAAATCGCTTGCCCGCTCACTCTTACGCAGTTATTTACTCATTTGCTCTCTCGTTCATTCACTTATTCTCTCACGCACTCATTCACTTGCTCGCTCACTCTTTCCATCACTCACTCGATCGGTCACTCGGTGTCTCATTCACTTCGCTCGCACGTTTGGCCATTCACTCACTCGCCCACTCGCTCGATCCGTCGCTCACCCACCCACTCACTTGCTCAGACACACACGTGTGCGGTTCCTCTCGCACCGCGCGTCCATCACAGCCCAGCTCACGCCACAGGGATCCATTCAGAATCAGAATCTTTATCTAGACTGGAGGAATCCGGCGAGGTACAGAGCTTGTTTTCACAAACGTCCAGTACGGGCGGGTCAGCAATTGACATCTGGACCCAAATCATGGCCCACACGGTGGCGGCCTCTGGTTTCTCCAGCAAGCCCAGGGAGCGAAGGTTCTAAAGGTGTTCTGACGCGTTGGCAGCGCCCACCAGTGCGCAGTGCCCCCACCCCCCCTCCCCCTTCCTCCCCGTGTCTCCACGTGCCCCCCCCCCTCCCCCCCGCGTCGTCGTAAATAACGTCGGGACCACGACCCGTGGCGAGCGATCGCTGCTACCGCCGCTGGTGCTGCTCACGCGTAACGATTATCAGACAGCGGGGGCCCGCCGCGTTCCCCGCTCGTTAGATAACGCGACAAATGAAGACAAACTGGGTGCAGACAAACGGCGTGGGAGGGGAGCGACGGCGCTCGCCAGATAAAACCCGGGCGCTGTCGATGTCACCGGCGGCGGCGGTGGCAGCCTGGCGCGCGAGACGCGATGCAGCGCTCGCTCGCTCGCTCGCTCGGCACGACCCTCGGCGCTGATGCCGACGCCGACGCTGGCCTCGCTCGCTCCGGAAATTGCTCCCGAGAAACCCGACGAGAGAGATTCTGCGCGGGGCTTAGCGCCGCCGCTTTTCTTTTTTATCTCTGCCCATTATCTCCGGCGGCGGCGGCTGAGATAGCGCGGCCGAGACGCACCGCTCCGCGGCACGGAATTGGCCGGGCTCTGCTGAGTCCTCGGAGGCTGTGCCTTCCCCCCCCCCAACCCCGTGCCCCACGCCAAACGTGTCGGTGGCCACAGCCGAGTGGTGTGGCGTCAGCGAACGAGGTGCCTAGATCTTCTTGGTTCTTTCGGTAAAGTCACGTAGAATGGAAATAATGAAATAATAAAAATTAAACATAAAATAATTCTCACGACGTTTCGGCCACAACGCTTGCGTTTGCGTTGTGGCCGAAACGTCGTGAGAATGATTTTATTATGTTTTATTTTTATTATTTTATTATTTCCCTGCTACGTGACTTTACCGAAAGAACCAAGAGGATTAATCCCTGCAGTCACGAAAGCTTTAAATATAATTATTTTATTATGTTTTATTTTTATTATTTTATTACTTCCCTTCTACGTGACTTTACCGAAAGAACCAAGAATATGAATCCCTGCAGTCACGAAAGCTTTAAATCGAGGTGCCTAGAATTAACGTAATTATGATCCGCACCCTTTGCTTATCCGACAAAGCATCGTTGAGCCTCTCGTTGCGAGGGTCCTGCATTGGGGTGGCCGAACTCCGCGTTGTCGTTTTGTCCGCACGCGCGTCGCGTGTGTCATCGTACTCGAGCCAGACTCGCGGTGACCTCTGACCCCGCCCCCCACGCGTGCATTTCAGGCCGAGACGGAGCAAGAGGATATGGGGAGCATCACCGCGTCGTCCGTGACGGTGAGAACCGAGCGCCAGCTCCCACTCGGGTCCCGCCCCATGCCGACTCCCCCTCTCACTGCCGCCTCACTCCCATCTCACGCCACTCGAGGGCCCAGCGCTCGCCTCTACACACGCGCGCACAGACACCCGCAAAGCCGACGATCCCTCTCCGTCGCCTACATAGACTGTAGGGTCAAGTGGCGACGTTTACTCGCCGCACCAGGGACTCTGTTGAGGCTTAGTCGACCTAGGGGAGGCTCAGGACTGGTTCAGATAATCGTCACCGGTGTCGGCCGTGAGCGGGAATCAAACTCGGGGATGTCGTAGCGCAGCGCGCTGACCGCTCCCCACACAGCACGTGTGCACACGCGCTGCGGTTGTTACAGGCAGACCGATTGCCTAGCCGCTGGTGGCTGGAGGGCAACTCATTCACCGTGAGCTGGGCGAGAGGCTCGGTTCGCACCAGGCTGACGGGAGAACGGGGGCGGCCGTCCTGGGCGAGCGGGCGGAGGGGCGCACGCGAGCGCGGGCGACGCTGACGGCACCAACGGATGGGCCCGTATCTTAAGCGCCCACGATGTCAGAGACGCACTGCCGAAGCGGCGATTTCTCACTGACCACGCGAGGACCCGGCAAGCTGCCCCGACGATTGATTCCTCCCTCCCTCCCTGCTCCCCCCCCCCCCCCCCCGGGCTCGCGAGGGGCTTGCAGCGGGCAACGACGGTGAACCGTTCGGTGCCTGGCATCCAAAACACAAACTCAAAACAGAGTTCGGCTCGGTCGGGTGATGAACGACTCCACCGGGCGTCTGGTTTCGTCGGCCTCCTCGTGAGGGCTCGGGGGAGGGGACGTGGCGTTTGGTGGGTCGGCGGGGGGGGGTGGTCCCGAGCTGACGGCTCGTGAGCCCAGTACCTCCGCGGTTGACGGGAAGGCTTGCGCCGGGCCACGTGAGACGCCGCGGGTCCCGCTGTACCAATCGGTCCCGCGTCCATGGGATTTGATCATCACTATTTGGGGTCACCATTTGGGGTCAAGAGCGACGCGCTGGGATGAACCATGTCCGTGTCGAGAGGGAGACTTGAGTCACAACAGTTGCAGAGCACACGTGTCGGTGTTTAAAGATCGACGCGACGCCGGAACGACGTGGTCCGGAACGCCAAGCAATGATGAGCATTGAACCATTGGTGCTCATCTCCTGTTCACAGCCCTGCAGAGCCAGTGGCATACAATTCCATATTCCTATGGTGGGGAGCAGGTCTATCCATAGCACCACTGTTGACTTCACCACTTCAACCCCACCAGTCAGGATTTGAAGGCACCGCGACCTTCCGTTTGATCGCTCGCTCGCTCACTCAACCGCCGAACCACGCGGCCGCATCGCTGCCCATCTCCCCCCACCCACCCCCCTCCTCCCCCACACCCCCCAAACTGCCGCCGCTCTCGCCGTGGGGCGTGGGGGCGAAGCGGATCCTGACAAGCGCCGTGCGACCCGGCGCCCCGTCGCTTTGAAGGCGTCCCCCGCCCCGTGGCGTTCTCGCGTTGCTGTCCATGCCGGGCCTCCCTCCGTTGCCTCCTCCTCCTCCGTAATTGGCCCAGCCCTGGGTAGCGGATATCAGAGCGCCCGCCCGCTCCACGTTTCTCGTTTTCCACCGCCGCGTTGCGATCGTTCCAGAGGCGAGCATGGAGGGAGTGGGGAGGGCGGCCCCCCAAGCGGGGGGCAGCCCGTGCCCCCTCCTGTGACCTTGAGGTGGAATGTTTGGTCCGAGGACTCGTGGCCCCGCGCGTCGCCCGCCACATGAAAGCCTCTCTCTCCCGTCCCCGCTCCGCCAGCTCGCTCGCAAACTATGCCGCCCACCCACCACCGCCCCGCCCCCCCCCCCAACTCACCCGCCGCGTGAATGAGTCCGTGAGGCTGGATTCTTGTTTTATTATTACGATCAAGCTTTCGCCCAAGAAAAGCCGCACTGAGCCTCATGATTATTCTATTAAGACCCTTGCCGAGTTTTGTTCGCGGTTGGGCTGCGATGTTGCCACGCGCGAACCCTAATTGAGTAATTTGCAGGTCGCTTTTTTTTCTTCTTGTTTTAGCATCGGGGAATGTTGTTTTGGGCGATATCAGTTACGCGGTGTGTGGGGTTGTTTTTAGCTATGGGGGAGGCAACCGGAGAAGCAGAACAAGGGGAGATCGAACAAGCTCCACGCAGGGAACGTCGCCCCCGAGCGTTACGTCGGCGCCACCACCCAAACAAACCGAGATGAAACGCTCTCGCAGCGTCGGCCTTCTAGGCCGCGGCGCGATGCGTCGAGCCAAATCTATTCCTGCTCACGCACACGGTGCGCGCGCCGGAAACGGTGGATCGTTCACGATCTATGCAAATCGTGTGAAAATCAGCGTCACCGCTCGGCTCACCGAGAGAACGTAACCGCGCACACGGAACGGGAACCACAGGGCCCGAGACACGCAACGAGCAGGACGCAAATGCGATCAAAGTAAAACGACGACGGATCCTCGGACCGAATCACGACCCTCCCCTCCCTTCCCCGGTGATAGTTTTTAACGCGTCAGGTTCTAACGGAGGTCACAGGGAGGGTTCGCGGTCCAGGTTGGCCTCGCCGTGCCAGACACAATGCTCTGTCTGCCGCTCGCGCTGCAGGCCGCGCAGATGAACGTTCAAATGTCGCTCTCGCACACTTGTCTCATTTCTGCCTTTCTTCTTCCTTTCCTCCTGCCCCCTTGTGCTGTTTGTCTGTCTGTCTCACACCCGGCCTCGGCCACGTGCGCTCTCACCGCGCCCGCCAACGCCGCTTCGACTCCGTTCCCGACGCCCTTCCGCCGACTTCTCTCCTTCTTCCTTGACCTTCGGCCGCCAATTCCCGGCCCTGTAATCGTTCGAACCTCCGGCGATGACCCCGGCCGCACGACACCCTCCTGGCGACCCTCCCCACCCACTCCCCGCCCCCGGACCCGTGACCTCAGTCCCTGTTTGTGCACATGCAGCTGGAGCCGCTGGAGAGGAAGTGGATGCGGGGGGCAGCCGTGGGGTGCGCCGACACGCTGAGGCAGCTGCTGGCGCAGGACCCGAGCCTCGCCTCGCACAGGGTGAGGGCCATCGCAGAACACGCTGGCTCGCTCGCTCACAGACATGCAGTCTCGCTCACTTCTAGACACGCCGACTCGCAGACGCGCAGTCTCACTCGCTCACAGACACGCCGACTCACAGACACGCCAACTCACAGACACGCCGACTCACAGACACGCCGACTCACAGACACGCCCACTCACAGACACGCCCACTCACAGACGCGCAGACTCACTCGCTCACAGATATGTGAACTCGCTCACTCGCTCACAGATGTGTGAACTCGCTCACTCACAGATGTGTAAACACGCGAACTCACAGACACATGGACTCTCTCTCGTGCCGTTACTCGGTGCAGCGATATCTTTCACGTAACCTGTAATTACCAGATTGAGTCTCTCCCTGTCACTTCTACCAGTAATCCCCTGTTGTAATGCACACCTGTAATCGCTGTTTGTAATCTACACCTGTAGTCACGAAGACTAATTTGGTCGTATGAGTCATGCAGAGTGGATGGTGCCCCTCGTGCACCGACCTTCTAGAGCCGTGCGTTGTGTGTGTGTGCGCATGTCTTTGTCGCTGTAGTGGTAGTGCTCTGCACTACGAACCTGGCGACCTGAGTTCAATTCCCGCTCACAGCCAACATCGGTGACGATTATCTGAATCAGTACCTGGGCCTCCCCTCGGTCAAATCAGCCTCAAACGAGTACCTGGTGCAGTGTGTAAATATTTCCACTAGGAAGACAAAGGCGGCCGGGCGTGGTGCGAGCCACCCACCCCATCACGTGCCATGCTGCCCTTCATAGGTGCTCGCTAACAGCATTTGCCCCAACAGTCTGTTAAGGCTACACGGGGATCTTTGTATTTTGTCTTTGTCTTTTTTTATGTCGCTGTAGTGTAGCGGGTAGTGCTCTGCGCTACGAACCCACTCACGGCCAACATCAGTGACGATTATCTTCGGCCTCCCCTCGGTCGAATCAGCCTCAAATGAGTAGCTGGTATAGCGTGTGAAAGATCTCTACTTGGGAGACAAAGGCAGCCGGACATATTCCTGGCCACATCTCACCCCCTCATGGGTGGTCCCGGCCTTCGTAGGTGCTCGCTAACGGCACTTGCCCTAACAGTCTGTTCAGGCTATAAGGGGGAGGGGGGGGATCTTTGTCTTTGTAACGTTGGCATATTAGGGGGCACAGGTAGTGCTTCTGCCAGTCATCTCAGTCAGGCAACCCTTGGGTCTGTCCCGTGACCTGCCCCGTGACCTGCCAGCGAGCCTTCGACACTTCACGTGCACAAAGTCTGGCACAAGCGCCTTGGTGACGTCACCGCCACTTGGCGGGTGTTGTATTGCTATGCCGTATCAGTGCTGTGCGTGTCGCTGTATATTGGTCCTCTGTGTCGCTGTGTACCCAGCTGTGTGTCCGTTGTGTATCAGTGCTGTGGAATCATCTCTTCTGTTGAAGAGTGGGTGGGTGGGTGTCTGTGCGAGTGTGGGCGGGTGGGTGTGTACGCGTGGGTGGGTTCTGTGAGTCCTCGCCCGCGTGTTTACGTTCGGGGTGAGCGAGTGGGACACCCTTAGCACACAGGGGCGTGTGGGTTCCCTCCCCAACGCCGCTCACGGCCTCTGCATCGGTGGTGGCAGCAGCGCAGTGGCAACACTCTTGTGGTCTCGCAGAAGAAAAGGGGCCCGGGTTCGATTCCCAACTAGGGCACCTTTTTCTGCGTGGAGTTTGTACTTGCCCCCCTGTTCTGTTGGGTTAACTCGAGGTTCTCCGATTACCCTCACATTGCCAACAAAAAAATCCCCAATAATATAACTGATATTGGGGCAAAACAATGCAGAAAAAGCACTGCCTGGCAATTAACTGAACCGGGATTGCATAGAGCGGCATTGCCCCCCTTACTGGCAAGAAAACGTGGCAGAACCCTCATGGAAGAGTCTTTAGACCCAGGATCTGCTGGGTAATCAAAGGCGCACGCGCATGTAATACAGCGCTGTAGAGTCGCGAGGGGTAGGTGCATCACCGCACACATGTTGTAAAACCCCCTTCCCGTGGGGAGTTGAGGAAGGGCCATACCCTGGCTCAAGAAGCCGATGCATAAAAAATTAACCCGTAAAAACAAAGTTTTTCACTATAAATCTTTTATATGCGTCCTCCGGCTTGAGATGGCTGCCACCTATAGGTCAGATGATTGCCTGCCACCATTAAGCAATTGGTAATTAAATATTAAAAAATCCTAAAAAGTGTAAAATTTTGGGAAAAAAATTTCACGAAAATAAATTGTCACGCACAACGAGTATGTGTGCAAAATGTCAGCTCGATTGGATCACGGGAAGTTGGTTAAAAAACGACCGAAAGATTTGCGCGGTCGTAAGCGCGCAAGCAAGCAAGCAAGTGAACTTAATATAAAGGATTTAAAAATGTGGACTCCGCCTGTTCCATCTGAACGGGACATCATGTCGTAGCCCCCTAGCGTGTGTGGCTTATCAGTTGACAGAGATCAACTTGATATTTCGGGGACAGCAGAGCCGGGGCAAGTCGTTGGTTAGCACCGGCTTGCCCGCGTGGCTGCTGCCGCCTATCCCGGTGGCCCGAGGTCGCTCCTCGTGCCTCCCGACTCGTCCTCTCTGTGCGAGGGCGAGGAGCGATTCTGGTACGGTGGCGGCGTGGCAGTGTTACAAGTTCTAACAATATAGATTTGAAGCTTTCGTGACTGCAGGAATCCATACTCTTTGGTTCTTTCTGTAAAGTCACGTGGTGTTTATTTGTTTTTTTTAAGTTATAACGAGTGTGTCGTGTCCCGTCTGCGTTGGTCCGTTCCGTGGCCACATCACGTGACCGTGTCCTGCAGCTGCTAGCGCCGTTGCTGCTGCTGCTGCTGCTGTTTATCAATGAACCCACGACAACCGGTGCAGGACGAACCCTGCGACCTTGACGAGAGACGGTGACCTTACTTTGAAGCTCGATTTAGGCAACTGCCGTGGCTTTTCCCGCGTTTGTATCTCAGGGCGGTGGTGGTCGTGGTGGCTTTGGTTTTTTCTGAGAGAGAAGCAAAGAGAGTGAGGGGGAGGAGACAGGGGGGGGGGGAGAAAAGCGGCAGCAGTGCCTTGCTGGGAGCAGAAGATTATCTGCAAGAACAAATATTCGTAATCGCAAACGTTTCACGGCCGAGAGCAAATATTGCTCATTGTTTCGCTAAAGAGCCAGGGGGCGTCGAGGAACAGCGGCATTGCGGAGGAGGTCGGGATTGGATGAGGAGGAGGAGGATGGGATGAGAGGAGAGGCGAGAGAACGGGCGGGGTGAGGCGAGGGGAGAATTGAGAGATGAGGGGAGAAGTGAAAGGCAACGCGAAGGGAGAGGGGAAAAGTGAGAGGCGATGGGAGAGGGGAGAAGTAAGAAACGAGGGAAGGGGAGAGGCAGGCGAGGAGAGAGGCGAGAGGAAAGGGGAGAGGCAAGGGGAGAAGCGAGAGGGGCGAAGCGATGGGCGGAGAGGCGAGGAGGGCCCGCTTCTTTAAGCGAGAGCCCTCTTTGTGGAGGTGGGCAGATGAAAGGGGTAGAGGCGTGCGTGCGTGCGGCGGCGCGCTGCGTCCCGTTTGAAGTCGGCGGTGTAAGTTTAAAGAGAGGGGGGGGAGGATGGAGGCTTTGCTCGTTTTTGAAGTCTCCGGGCGTTTGGTGGCCGAGTGGGGTCGGGTTTGCAGAGGGAGGTGCAGATGTGTGAATACGCGCGCGTGTGTGTTGTGTGCGCGTGTGCGTGTGTGTGCGTTCTCGCGCGTGGGGAGTGGCGGCGTTTGTCGTTAGCGTGCTGCGCTACGAACCCGGCGACCCGACTTTCATTCCTGCTTACGGCCACCAACACCGGTGACGATTAATCAGAACTGTTCCTGGGCCTCCCCAAGGTCAACTTAGCCGCAAATGAGCACCTGGTGGATCGTGTAAAACATCGCCACTGGGGAGATAAAGACGGCCAGGCATGGTGCTGGCCACCCACCCCCCTCGTTTGCCGTGCCGGCTTTCATAGGTGCTGCTCGTTAACAGCACTTGCCCCAACAGTCTGTTAAGGCTACACGGGGGATCTTTGTGTGCGTGCGTGTGCACGCGTGTGTGTGTGTGTCCGTGTGTTTCCTATATCACTGACCCGCTTTGTGCCGATGTCATGACTCCATGACGCCTACGAACACGCCGGCAAACACAACACTGCTGTTTCAAACGATTGTGCCAAGTGGCCGCGCGCTGCTCCCTCACACACTGCCTGGCACGCTGCCCCCTCTCTCGCTGCCCCCCCTCTCTCGCTGCCCACTCTCTCGCTGCCTCCCTCTCTCGCTGCTCCCCTCTCTCACTGCCCCCTCTCGCGCTCCCCCCTGTCGCGGTGGTGAGTGCGAGTATATGGTGAGTGTCTGGTGAGTGGTGGAATGTCGTGGGTGCGAGTCCCTGGTATTAGGCTGAATGGTGAGTATCTGGCAATTGCGAGTAGCTGGTGAGTGTCCGATGGGTAATCTTCCGGTTAAACGATTGAAGTTTATCAGCGGAAGGGAACTCCTCTGGTGGAGGACGTCCTGCCCTCTAGCACTCCTCCATCTCTCCGCCACATCGCTGGTCTCCTTGTCAGCCCCCCCCTCCCCACTCCGTACATCCATCACTCCGATTCTCAGCTCGATCACGGCCACTCGTCCGTTATGTAACTGACGTGGATGTGTGGATGTTGAGCGGTGTCCCCAACGTGCCTCGTCCCCTCTTATCTTTTCTTTCGAACTGCCTTTTGCGTGTTAGTTTGATGTCCTTCCCCCGAACCTCCGATTAGCACGGTTGGTTTATGTAAGGCGTGTGAGAAGTTGAACATACATGCGTACATCTGATGATTATGATGATGATGGTGGTGATGATGATCCGCTTTATTTACCAATTAGAGTCCTAAGGCTCTTTTTCAGGCGGGTCCTGTATTGTTTTCATTACTGTTACGTTTTAAAGCTTTCATGACGGCAGCGATTCATATTCTTGGTTCTTTCGGTAAAGTCACGTAGAAGGGAAATACATTATTATTTTATTATTTCCCTTCTACGTGACTTTACCGAAAGAACCAAGAATATGTTTTCATTACTGTTACGTTTTTATTTTACCAGGTAAAGGCCCACTGAGCTAGACAGCTCTATTTCAGAAGTGACCTGGTGACAAAAGATCGCTCAACGAAGTGGCTTATCTTGTGGAAATAAGCAACAGGCCAAATACTCTAACCGCCTGATTCTAAATATCGAGGGAGAAAAATCTACGTGACCACGGGGAGAAACACGCCAACTCCGTGGTATCATCGCTCTCAAAGAGAGAGAACGGCAGGGCGTGGTGCTGGCCACCTACCCCTTCGTGTGCCGTGCCGGCCTTCACGGGTGCTACTCGCTAACAGCACTTGCCCCAACAGTCTGTGTGGGCAAAGGGAGGGGGGTTGTGGCGGCCGAGAGTACGAAAGGGTGGCGGCAGTGGCGACAGTGCACAGAAGGCCGCGGGAGAAAGCACCTCACACTCGTCACAACCTTCACGGCGTGGAACGGATCGCACGGAAGAAGGGGTGGGCCGGGGGGATGGAGGCGGCAGAGTGCGGCGGTGGGGGGGGGCATCAGTACGGGGGGGGGGGGGTGGGGTTTGTCCCCGGATTCTCTCGCCCTCGATCGCTCGCCCTGTCGTCAAAACCCGGCTCGAGAAATAAAGAAAAACTAATAATCTGAAAGCAGTTTGCTGTCGGCCTTATCTGTACCCGGCCAAATTACTCTCGCCGCATTTCCCCGTTACAACTTCACTCGCCCCTTAAATCCAATCGCGCCTTATCTGCCGCACGGCAGGCTTATCAGCGCTGGCGGGCCGCTGTAAGTAATACGGACGGCCCCCGGGCGGGCAGGCGGGCGGGCGGGCGTTTGCGCGCTCCGTGGCGAGACGAACGGCCGCCCCGTCCCATGCCCCTCATTGAGGAGGCAGCGGCGCGGCACGGCGCCTGTTAATCGTCCCTGGCCCGCGCCTCCTCTTCCCCCGTTGTTATTTTTCCCTCTGCGCGCGAGCGTGCGGGGGGGAGCGTGCGGGCGAGCGTCTGTGAGCAGCCACTGTGACGTTTTATTAGCTAGTAACTCGCTCGCGAGCGAGCGAGTGAGAGGGCGAACGAGGAAGGGGGAGGGTGGTGGTGGTGACGTGATGATGGGTGATCCTGGGATGAGTTGTGAGCAGTGGGGGAATGGTGACTTCTGGGATGAACGTGGAGAGCGTTGCGTGCGGACAGACGGGGTGACGCCTAGGGATGAGCAGACAGGGGATGGGTGTCCTGTTGGACGAGTGAACCGGTCGATGAATAATGCCACGTGCTTACCTAGTGGCAAGCACGATATTAGCCGATTCTCTGGCATCGTCCAGTATCACCCCAGCAAACCACTACTTAGTATGAATATTCTGCTTGTTCATCTGGGAATGCCTCACCGAGTCTCAGGACTCTTTTTCAGGAGGGCCATGTCAGGAGTAGGGGGAGTGGTGACGTGGGCGCTCTGTGTGTGATGCGAAATGTTAAAAAAAACTGCTTTAGGACGTTGTTTGGCCAATACCAGTTTCACTGTATGGGTTATTTTTTAAGCTGTGCGAGTAAACTGGAGAACAACGGAGGACACCCGTGCAGAACAGCGGGGGGGGGGGGGGGGGGTGAACGTACGGAGAGGCGGTGCCCGAATCGGCGATCAAAACTGGGCGGCGCGACACTGCTGCCGTGCGTAGCGCCAACTCAGCAAATATATCCAGGTGCAATTTTTGTAACATTGCCACGTTATGGCCAACACCAAGGAATTACATCGCGTGTGCGCTTTCGTCGGCGAGGTTGAACCCTTGACTGCAACGCGCTCTGAACCGCAACAATTACAGCGCGGTATTGTCGCGACGGGGCCTCGGGATACAAGTGCTCATCCAGCCGCGTCAATTTCCACCAACACCGCAGCAGCAGCAACACCAGCAGCTGTGATTGCGGCTCCCTGCCTGCCGAGATACTAGCCGTGAGAGTCGGGGTCCCATGCTGGGAGCACTAGCGGTCCCGCGCTGGCACGTAGCGAAGTTGTTTGGGTGCCTCAACGCGGGGAGCTTTTGGAAAGAGAGAGAGAGAGAGTTTGTGTCGTTTTGCTGTACTTCCATCGTTGAAGTAGTGCAGAATAGAGCTGTTCACTTTATGGTCCATAGAACAGGTGAGAGTCTGAACGGGTGAGAGTCTGAACGGATGAGGGTCTGAATGGGTGAGGTCCTGAATGGGTAAGCTCCTGAACGGGTAAGGTCCTGAATGGGTGAGAGCCTGAACCGGTGAGGGTCTCAACGGGTGAGGGCCTGAACGGGTGAGAGTCTGAACCGTTGAACCACCGGGTTAGTTATTGCACCACGATGTCGACAAAGCTCATGAACCCATGACTTCCTCTCTGCACTCCCCCCCCCGGTCCCCCCTGCGACCTGCTCCCCTCCCCACCGCCACTCACGTACTCAGGTGCTGCTCTTGAGCAGCCGGTGGTCGCGCAGCGCAGACAGCGGGGAGCGGCACCCCCCTCCCCTGTTAATTAGCAAACTAATTACCGCCTGCTGACATTCCATTACCGCCGTGATTGATTGTGGCAGAGAGGAGCTCCCGTTAGTGGGGTGCTGCTGTGTGCGTGTGCGAGTGTTGCTGCGTGAGCACGTGTGTTTGTGTGCGCGCGCGTGTTTGTGTGTAACCGCGTGTGTTTGTGTGTACGCGCGTGTGTTAGTGTGTACACGCGTGTGTTAATGTGTACGCGCGTGTGTTTGTGTGTACGCGCGTGTGTTAGTGTGTACGCGCGTGTGTGTGTTAGTGTGTGCGTGTGTGTGTTAGTGGGGAACGGCTGTGCAGTGGGTTAGCGCGCTGCGCTACGAACCCGGCGACCCGAGTTCGATTCCCGCTCACGGTCAACTCTGGTGGCAATTATCTGAACCGGTCCTAAGCCGACTCAGCCTCAAATGAGCACCTGGTGCAAAGTGTAAAACATCGCCGCTAGGGAGACTAAAGGTGGCCGGGTGCCATGCCAGGCTTCATAGGTGCTTGCTAACAGCACTTGACCCAACCGTCTGGGCGATCTGTCTCTTTTCTCCGTGGTTTTGTGGTAAGGTGGAGGGGTCACCAGCAACTGGCACTCGTCCCGAGCCCCCCATTGGCCGCTGTGGCGGCTGCGAGCATGCTGGGAGGGGAACAGCTGGGGCGAGTGCTGTTTGTGAGCACGTATGAAGCCCGGCATGGCACACGAAAAGGTTGGTGGCCAGCACCACGCCTGGCCGCCTTTATCTCCCCCAGTGCTGACGTTTACACACCGCCATAGCGGAGTCCCAGGACCGGTTCAGATATCCGTCACCGATGTTGGGCCGTGAGCGGGAATCGAACTCGGTTTCACCGGCTTCGTGGCGTGCACGCAAACCACGCCGGTTGTGCAGGTCGGGAGTGTGCGCACGTGGGCGTCGAAGCGCTCTCGTTTTGTTTATTTTCGTTGCCCGTTACTCGAGTTCTCATCTCAGGTTTTCCCCTCCTAGGAGCGGCAGCGCCGAGGCGGCAACGCGCGATCCGTTTACAAAAGACAGCCGCAGCCGCTCGTGTTCACTTGGGGTCACCGCCCGCCCCCCCCCCCTACTCCGGCACCCCCCCCCCGATACCACCCCCGCCGCCCTCCCTCGCCGCGTGTGCGGACTCACGGTGCGCGACCGCCACGGCCTGAGTTAGGCCTCGGCGATTGCCCCCCCCCACTGGAAGCGCGGGGGCACCGGGAGTTTATTCAGGCCCCGACCGGCAGCACAGCCGCGCAGACGAGCGCCGGCGTTAATGACGACAGCGGGGGGGAGTGGTTTTGCGTTTTTGATCAAGAGCGGGGCCCTCCTGTGCACCGGGGCGTCTCGCGTCACCTCGTCTCAACAACGTTTTGAACGGTGACCGCCCGCCCCCCCCCCCCCCCCCGGCAGTAGCGATGATTTGTATTTGCGTGGTCTCGCCTGGGGCATCCCGACTGGCAGCTGTGTCCCTGTGTGGCACGTGGTTGCTCGGAGTAGTGGGTGGGCCTGCAAGCGGGCGTTAGTCTGCCAGCAGGGGGCGATGATTGCGCCTATCTGTGTCATCCCAACAGTGGTAATGAAACAGGCAAAGGGTGATCGCTTGATGTACCTTCTCGAGAATGCGGCTCAGGCATTGGCACCGCCGGTGGGGCTGCATGAGACCTGTGAATGAGGCGGGAGGAGGGGTTCACCTGGAAGGGTGGCTCTGTGTGTGTGTGGGTGGCGTGGGGGGGGTGGCGTGTGAGTCAGTGGTGTGAGTCAGTCCCGATGAGTGTAAACAAACATCGGTCTGTCAGCAGCTCAGCAGGGGTTCCTGGGGTTCCTGGTCCCCTCTCACCTCCCCGTATTTGCTTCTGCATCTCGAGTGTCAGTGCGCCAATCATCACCAGTCGCTATCATCATCACCATCAGCAGCATCAGCAGCATCAGCAGAGTTATCGGCAACACCGCCGTCATTGCCGTCATCTTAATCGTCACGCCCGGCTGCGTAAGGAGTTACTGCTCCGGTGATTCGGTGACTTGTCGCAAGTTGCTGTTTGAGGATTATCCTTCTTTTTTTGCTCTCGTTTCAACCGCCACGTTTGTATTTGTTTCTCGGTTATTTGGTCCAAAGAGCGCGTGGTTTGCCAGGAGTTTGCCTAGACAGCCGACGCGTTGTTGCGCGCCCAACGTAGTGATGAGAATTGGCGGCGGCGATGGTGCGGTTGTTCGTAAGGACTGGCGGTATTGGTGGCCGGCGGTTGTAATGGTGTGGTGGTCGGTGATGGTACAGCTACTTGCGATGGTAAAGTTGCTCGTGGCGATATGACTGCTGGCGGTGTTGATAGGCAGTGCGGTTGCTGTTGGCGACAGTGGTGACTGTGTCTGGTGGTGATGGTGCAGTTTTCTGCTGATGGCAATGGCTGCCAGTGATCATGTCCCTGGTACTGTGTGACCGCGAGGCCTCAGCATGGTGCCGCCTCCTCACCTGCGTTGTCTCTGCCTCTGTCCCCATGGCGACCGCGTGGACGCGGATCCTGGGGCCCTGGGCCTTCTCCCCGGACTTCGTCTCCCTGTTCCAGGATTTCACGTCGGTAAGAGCCGCACCTTGCCGGTGCGACCGCCACAACCACTACAACCGTCACAACCGGTGCTAGGATGTCTCGCGTTTCCCTCCCCCCCACCCCCCCCCCCCCCAATGCTTTAGCGGACGAGCCGAGCTCCTGAATATTCATGAGACGTGGTCACGATTTTAATCCATCTTCTTGGTTCTTTCGGTAAAGTCACGTAGAAGGAAAATAATAAAATAATAATTTAAAAATGTTAAAATTTTAAAAGACTTTAAACCCCTCGCCAAACCTCCTACGCATTTCACAAGTAGTACT